AAGTTGGCAAAGGATCCTGGAATTGGACCGGAGATGTCGTTCGCCCTCAAGTTCAACACCCTCAGGTTTGAAAAGTTGGCAAAGGAACCTAGAATTGGACCGGAGATGTCGTTCCCACTCAAGTCCAACACCCTCAGGTTTGAAATGTTGGCAAAGGATTCTGGAATATAAGAGATGTAGTTTCCTCTCAAGTCCAACTCCCTCAAGTTTGGAAAGTTGGCAAAGGATCCTGGAATTAGATAGTAGATAAATTTGAAGCTAAGGTCAAGACCAACAACATGCCCATTGCTAGTGCAATTAACACCAACCCAAGAACAACAGTTGGTGCTTGAATTCCAAGTTTGCTGTACTTCAAATGAATAAGATAGAATGCTTTCCTTCAAATGGAGCAACGATTGTTGCTGGTCTTTAATACACTGGCTGTGAACTGCAGGGAGGATATTGAAGCAGAGGACGAACAAGTAATGCAGCAAAGTTTTCATTTTGGAAAAACCTTTTACTTTGAGAGACGCTAGCTGATGAGGGAAAGTTTTGATAAGAAAGAAAGGTTGTGCTGTCTTTAATATATACATATCATTATATGTAATTACATGCATGGTATAATAGAATTGGAAAAGTACATCACTTAGCTTTGATGAGATTAAATCTTAGTCGTCGCTGATGTCTTGACTTTGAAGTCTTCTACCAATCTAATCTTGTAGTAGTAACCAGGAATTTCGACCAAAAAAAAGTAACCAGGAAAATGGGATAGAACAAAAATACTGACGTTCCTGGAAAAAGGCCTCCACGTGATTCATGGTTGGCTTGACTTGTTGACTCAAAGGTCTTTTGTTTCTTTTCCTTTTTAAATTGAATAAATCGTACAAATAATACAGTGAGTAATCATATCTTTCATGATTATACATATATATTTTATTCGACCAAAAAAAAAATACATATATATTTTATCTTAAAAAGCAACTTTTAAACATCAATCTTAGGATTATGTCAATTTTATCATTATTGTTTAAATTAAATCTATTGCAAATCAAGAGCACATTATAAAGTTAGTCAAATTTTTTTTCAATTCAGTCTAAAATACAGGACTCAAACTGCTAAAACTACAAGAACCATTAGTTCCTAACTACCCTACTATACGTAGCACATTAGTTTGAATTTTTTATATTTTTCATTCCGTTGCCGCTTGCTAAAATTATATTTTTTGTTTGTTCTTTTGTTTTTGTGGAATGAGTCAGTGTAGGTTAGAAATTGAATTCAGAAGGCTTGATTGGTTCTTATTGTTCAACGAGACTAATTATACTCGACCATATCTCAAGTTCTCAACTAATTCTTACTAAACTTATTACGTGTAATATTTAAGCGTTTATCCATTAAAGTCTTGCCCTATTTTGTGTAATAGTGGACCTAACTACAGTCTGCCTACTTGGATTTTTGGATGAGTACTGACTCGGCCAAGATCAATTAGTCATAGCTTATGGCCCAGTCGATGAAAGCAGATGATATATGTGGTCTAGGATTCCCATTATATCATATCCATGTATATGCTCATGTTGATTTCTGGGTTTGTCACGCCCCGAATTTTCAACAACAATTAATCTGCAAAATTAAACAGAACAACCAACGATCCGGGACGCGAAGCTCGGAACCTTCAACAAAAGTACCTAGAAATTTAAACTTTTCTTTTTTGATACAACACCACTGTTCCGAACCACAATGTCAATAATGACTCAACTCTTCTGAGTCAAATATTACATTACAAACTCACAACATAAATGAACAATCATCATTTTACATAATATGCTCCTCAGAGCTTATTTCACACAGCGGAAGTCTAACACTCACCAACACTCTCACACCACACTTTACAGTATGTGGAACCACCAATGAGCCTCCTGCTCCTCACCTTAATTCTCCTGCTCACCGTCTCTACCACCTGCAGGATTTTCCCCTACACCATTGAATAGTGCACCGGGTTCACCACAGAACAACCCGGTAAGCTTTCTAAAGCTCGTATGAGTAAACCACGTCCACAGTATAATATGTCAATTTCACATAATATACAAACACATGCACTTTCATTAGCACACCACAATCCTTGTATAACCAAGGTAATCATAATCATCAATATCATCACAATCACAATTCTTTTGTTTTATTTAAAGAACTGTTACGATCACCACCTGTGACCACACCAAAACTCTTTATTTCAAAGTAGTTTTCACACGTCAATTGTTTGACAGATAGAAGAGAGAATACTATGAACCTCTAATCTATAACACTACAAAACACCATAGTAGTGTTCACTCATGATTACACACCAGTCATGAGTACTAGATGGCGCCAGACTAGAGCTCTAACTGTTCTTGGGTCTTGCTCCCTAGGGTAATTTATCCCTCATTATTTGCCACGAGAATGCCCACCTGACAAACTCAGAAGGGATTCAAGGTATTCTCACCTAAATCCATCAACACCAAAACACCAACACCAAAACACCAACGCCAAAACAATATAAAATGTAGTTTCACATTAAACATTGTTTTATAGCCAAATACACCAATCACAGCAATATATATTTATTATATATATTTATGTGGTTATTCACGAATGAATTTCCACCATACATCCACAACATATGTTATATGGTTAAACACCAAAATCTCCAATAAAAAGTATTAATTCAAAACAAAATAGGTTTCACTTACCTCATGAACCGTTGATGAACAAGTTCATGTGTTTTAAATCAATTAAAACACTTTATAAAATCACAACCAACATGTTAATTATAGCCACTAACATTATCCAAGGTCACATTATAATAAATATAATA